TTTTTGTCTCAAGTGTGTGTATACTCTTGGGCCCAGCCTCACTCTCACTTGGCTGCCTGGCTTGACTGCTGCTGTGCACTCTGCTCGGGGGTTTGTCCCCAAACACTAACATAAGGGAGTAGTCTCTTCTTTTTTCTCTCTCCCTTCCTTGTATTTTTTTTCTATTTACCTTCCATATTGGTTTTTTTATTTTTGTGGCTTTCTTTTTTTTTCTTATGCATCCTTTTATACCTGAGACTTTTTAATTGGATTAAGGTGTTGAAGAACCTGAAGAACTTTTCTTTTCTCTTTTTTATTTTTTTATTTTTTTACTTTTCCGCCTTTTTCAGGATTTAACAATTTTTCCTTTTTGTGTGTGTTTATGGTCTTTTCTTCCATTTTTGAGTTTTACTGCTATCTAACCAATCGATTGGATTAAGATATACAAGAACCTGAATAAATTTATTATTGTTGTTGTTGTTACTATTTGGTTTCTTTTTTCCTACTATTTTTACTTGGAATTATAATTGGTTATTTCACAAGTGGATTAAGGTCTAGAAGAACCTGAAGATTTTGAATTGTCCGAAATGAGTAGGAAACTAACAGTCCCTGGTTCCTCAACTTCTACTTCTTCCTCTTCACCATCTGGAGGACAACGTTCAATACAGACGATGTTACAACAAGAAAAAGAACAAGAAAAAGTGACCCTGCAGATGATTAAGCAAGGAATTCAAAATATTCAAATAAGAACAGAGAATATTGAAAAGAGAACAGAGAACACTGAACAAAGAACAGGGAAAACTGATGAAAAGGTGGAGAACAGTCAACAAATGATGATGAAGTATAATGAGAGATTTCAAAAAATTGAAGAAGATAAACAAAAAGATAAGATTGGAGATATTGATAGCAGATTAACTGTGGTTGAACAAGATAAAAATGGGATGTTGAGGTGGGAGATGGACAGATTAGAATTTTATCACACATTCCAAAACACAGAGGAAGAAAAGGGACAAAACATAGCTGAGACAATGATAGAAATTTTGGCTTGAAGCTTTGGAAATAACTCAAGAGAAGATGATGGATGGAATAGATGAAGTTTATCAAGTCTTCACAAGATATGCAATGAGAAATAGCTTACCAAGAGAAGTTCACATCAGATTTACAAAGAAAGCCATTAAAACGCAAATACTGCAAGTGGCAAGAAAGAAAACATTGACATATAAAGACAAGGAGATTGAGGTCCTGAAACAAGTACCCAGAAGAGTGAGCGAGATGAGAATACCGATTTTTGACCAAAATGCTACTTAAAAAAGAGGTGAATTATAGATGGCTGATTCCAGAAGGTTTAATGTTCACATTGCAAGAACAGAGACATAGAATCGACTCAATTGAGAAAGCTGAATTATTTTACACAGAATATTTTGGAGGGAAAGAGGAGGAGGCAGAAAAAGAAATTTCACTAATTGAATACCAAGAGGACTGCCAAATGGCGACCGAAAAAGAAGAAGGTGCAGTAGGTGGAAAGGTGGAAGTCAAAGAACAATGTGAACCAAGATCTACGAGAGCTGCTAAACCTAACTACAAAATATAACCATGGAAGAGAAAAAACTGATTACAATTAACATAAATGGATTTAACTCAGCTGTTACAAGAAAGAATACTTTCCATAAATTAGAGAAATTAAAATTTGATATAATCTGCTTACAAGAAGTACATATCAAAAAGCAACATGAACAATTGTTGATACAGCCAAAACTAGGGAAAATATTTACTTCTTTGACATAATGAAAGAAAAGAGGAGTGGTTTTATACATTAAAGATATTATCCCAGCGAAATTGATCTATACCGATGACGATGGAAGAATACTAATGGTGGAAATAATGGACAATAATATGAAAACACTCCTGATTGCAATCTATGCCCTGAATGACAATCAAGAAGAATTTTATAAAAAATTACATGTGAAAATAATTGAACTGGATTATGCTAATATAGTTATGATGGGAGATTTTCATGGAATTGTAGATAATAAACTGGACTACACAGCACAGAAAACAACAAAGCAAAACAGAAAGACTCTCCCTAAATCTTTTTTTTAAATGATAGATGAAATAAATTTAAAAGATACATGGAGAATAAGAAATGCTAAGACTAAAAAATACACCTTCTATTCAAATAGACATTTATCATGGTCTAGAATAGATATGATATGGATGTCAACAGAATCGTTAACTAATATTCAAGAAATAAATATTGAAACAAGTATTTGGGCAGATCACAACCCAATGACAATTAAATGGAAAGGACAAAGAAGAAGATCTAGATGGACGTTAAATAATACTATATTAAAGGAAAAAGACTTCACACAGTGGATGGAGAAAGAACTGGCTTTCTTCTTTAGAGAAAACAAAACAGAAGATACATCAATGCAGAACGTATAGGATACAATGAAGGCATATGCCAGAGGCTTGATAATAGACTATACAAGGAAAAGGAAATACCATGAAAAGACTGGCCTCTAAGACATTAGAGGATGAGTATAAAGGACTTGAAAAAGAGTTACAGAAAATGCCACAGAAAAAGGACATTAAGTTAAAAATTGATATAATTAAACATAAAATGGGTCAAATAGAAAAAGAAGAACTAGCACAGAAAATCAGAGGTGCGAAACAGAACTAATTTGAAGATGCAAACAAACCAGGTAGATGGTTAGCATACAAATTGAGAAAGGAGAAAGAATCAAGGAAAATATTGCAATTAACAGATGACCAAGGCCAAGTTTGCTATGGTAGTAAAGAGAAGAAGGAAATTATACAAGACTATTATGGGAAACTATACACACAAGAGAATATTGATGAGGAAAGAGTTAAACAGTATTTAAAGAATGCTAATCTGTGGGAACTATGATTCTTTGTTCTTTGTGTACGTGCTAGGACAACGGAGCCTTCTGGTAGTTGGCTGGAACACGGAGCAAGGAGCAAGGAGCAAGGACAAATTGTTGCCATTTCTTAACCAGAACTGTAGCAAACTTAAACTCTGCAGCCTTGTATGCTTTATGCGAATGATCAGTGCATGTTGTGTGATGTAATGCATTTGTGATAGGACGTTAACAAAATTGCTACGTTAACAAAGATTGCTTCTAATAAAAGAGGGTTTCGGAGTTCTCTCTGCGCTCTCATCCCAAGACAACTTTGCGAAGTGTCTTCTTTTCATGAGAGACCACCACAACTGGTGACCCCGACGTGATCCACTCAAAAGAGATACGTCTTTGGCACACCCATTCTCATCGTCTGGAATAGACTTGGTGCACCTCATCCGCTTGAATCGCTGGCGACAACGGATCCCTCGTGAGTATGGGTGGTAGATTCTCTAAGGAGCAGGCAGCTCACATTCAGGAAATCAGAGAATTGACCAAACGAAATTTTTTTACCTTTAAAAGGGGGGCTCTCTTCATGCCCCCCTCCCAAAAACCTCTATTGAGGAACTCCTAGAATACATTTGGCAACACTGCCCTTTTTATCCGGCTAAAGGCAGTATCAAAACTACAGTATGGAAGGAGATTGG